AAATTCATCTTCACCTGCCAGGGCAAGGTCGAATGTGGAATTCCCTCATGCTGGAGGCAGTATTTTTTGCATTAGGAAATCAGCTTTCCCCCCCCCAAGCGATTCTAAGGATATTTTAATACTGGCAGCTCAGGACCTCCAGCTCAGTCTGAACTCCCCAGTGATCACAGGATTTTTATTAGATATCACGGATGTGGCTGCTTAAAGAACCAGATTGTGTCGAGTCCCTGGAGCCACATGACGATCTGCTGCAGACCCTTCTTGCTTCATACTTTATTGCCCAGGATATTGATCCAGAAACACTCTGAATCATTTATTTCCATGTTGCTAATGACTTGGAACCAGCCTGGGACTGCTGGTGCTTGGGAGAAGGAGATATCTGCTCCCAAACCAGTCCCAGTGGGATGCAGATGAGGACCAGCAGATCAAGACCTCGAAGCACGAGTGCAAACCTCCCTACACTGCTTAAACAACCTGCTGTTTAATTCCACCCTTTGCTGCCTTTTCCCTCTCTTTCTCTGTGAAACAGGGGCCATTATTTATAAGATCACTTTAATGTGCTTCCCCTTCAGCATCATTCGGGCATCCCCAGGAGCTGCTTGCAGCCTGTGAGGTCCTGCAAAGCCCTGCTGCTAGTTTCAAAAAAACCATCTCCCCCCATGAATGGAGGCCTGCCGAGTTGAGAAGCCTTCAAAGGCTGGGCTCAGGGTGGCCAGCACAATGTCCCTCCTCCTCCCCTCCCCATCCCCTGCTATGTTTCACAGGATCAAGTTCTCAGAAAAGAAAAGCTGCCTGCTTTCCTGGGATGCTGGAGATGTTCTTCTGGGCAGCTGGACTTTCAGAGCTACATCCCGCTGTTCTCCCGTTGAGGATGCACTGGCCACATGGGTTCCTCCAGCTAATCCTCCCCCTCCCTTTGCTCTGTGGCAGGCTTTTTTTCTTATCTTAAGTACATCCAAACTTCCCAGCAGGTTTTCTGTGGAGATTGGGTCCCCCAGGTGCCCTGCACTTGTAACTTTGAACCATGTTGTACAGCAAAACCCATTGCCTGCATCCCTGTCCCTCCAGGAGCTGCTGCATCGGGCTCTGCCCTGCCCTTTGCACTGCACATGAGGGTGGGGTGGGACCTGCCAGGGATCTGCATCTTTCCACCTGTGTTTTTGTCTGCAAGGAACACCAGGAATAGGCAGGTGCTAATTTTATTCCCTATGTTTTGCATCACCCCCCCTACCACATGCTATTTTGTCTTTCCCCATCCATGCTCAGTGACTTATCATAAGCTGATTTGCTTTTTATTGTATTTTTTCACCACTATTCTTTTATCCCAAAAGTCCTCTCAGTCTCCTCATCCACACAGGCACCAAGATAGGAAAAAAACCCCCAACTTGGTCAGCCCTATCTAACGCTGTCTCCAGAGTGAGTCAAATGTGCTGGAGAAATCCTGCTGTGGTTTGAGGGCAGCCCAGCTCCAGCCCCAGAAAGGCAGCAGCTGTGGAGGGTCAACCTGGTGCTCACCAAAGGCAAAAGCATCTTCCAGAAGGAACAACCTGCTGGCATCTGGGACTGGTGTGAAATCTAATCTGGAATCCTGTGCCTCCTGCACATGAGCAGCACTGAGGAAACGTGAACTGGTGTGGAAAGGACAAGCCGAGGCGGGAAGGACTGAAGGCGACTGGGACGTGAGTTTTTATTTTGAACTGAATTCTGACCTTTGGATGAAGTCTGGGAAAACCAGATTGATGTGGGGATAGGCTCAGGGACAGCAGTGTGGCCGTGTTGTGGTTGGCCACCATGCCACAGTCACCCTGGCATCTGTAATCGTTCATCCAGCCCCTTCATCTGGTATTCCCACAGTCTTCTCCCTTTGGCTGCCAATGTGGCTTTTGGCAATTCCTGGAGCCTTCTGAAGCCCATCTTTAAACCCTTTAATAACCACGATGGCCCTTCTGACCAAAGCCTCCACTCCAGCCACAGGGCAGCAAGACAGGCTACGGGCACACCACCAAACCTCCATCAGGTCACAAAGAGAAGATGTAACACCTGGCTGTATCTTTAGTGTACAAACTGCCCCCTCATCACACCCAAAGGTGCTGTGCCCCCCAAAATACTTATTTTAAAGCCATGCACCATCCTGCTAGCCCTGCACTAGCATTTGTCACTGAGAAATCTTATTCTCCTCTCCCCTTCCTCAGCAGATGATTAATTTCTTTTTCACTGGCTACCATGAAACACACTGTTATTTTAAACACCTATTTTATTAGGGGAGCAGCAGCCCACGATGGTTAGAGGTTGTATCACACCTTGGTGCATGCACAGCATTAACCTCTGGGCTCCATACCCCATTGAACCCCACAGAAGGAATAGCTGGTCATTCATTAACCTGCCAATTAACATGGGAAACCACCATTACTGTGTAAAACTACACAAGGGGGCTGGAATTTCTCTTTTTTCCTCTCTGCCAAAACTTTTAGACACGCTCAAGCAACTTCAGTTGTGGTGTTTTCCTTGGAAAGTTTCGGGGGGGTTTCCACCCAAAGTCTCACTCTGTGAAAAAAAAATGGGAGTTTGAAGTTGCCAAAAAATGCAGTAACTAAAGTGTTGGATTTTTGGGAAACAAAAACCCCAACAGAACCCCCCAATGTGTAATGAAGATGGTCCTTGCATTCTTGAAAGACTTGGTGTTTGGAAAGACGTTGTCAACTGAGAAAAAAAAATCCTTCAGTGGGAAAATTTCCACCCACTCTGGTTGCACCTCTTCCCTCCAGCTCTGAGGGAGGGGAAGGTTTTCCTCCCCACGAGGGTGGATCTGTGTTTTCCAATGGATGGACAAGAGAACGTATTGATAGAGAAGAAAACAACCCCTGAGTGGGAAGGTGCAGCTTGAAAGGTCCTGCTTGGTGGGCAGCTGAGGCAGGTACTGAGCATCACCATCCCTTCCAGTGGGGATGCATGTGCTTAAACCCCATGGATTTCCACGGCCAGGGTTTATACAGCTCATTTTTTTGCCTCGGAGTCCTGGCTGAGCCGGGTCCTGAATCCGAGTCGACAGTCTCGGCTCAAAACCAGCCCTCCAGTAAAACCAGTGGGCAGGGCAGGATGCAAACTGGAGCTGGTGCTCCCGCCAGTCCTGCCGGAGATTTCCTGGAGGAACCGTGTTTCCTGGTGCTGCCCAGATTTTGCTTCATAGGTACTTGTGAGCATCCTTTTACTTTCATTCAACACAGCTCCCCCTTTCACCCCTGCGGATCAATACACTTGTGTGTGAAGACAAAGATACACGTACAGATCTGGATGCACCCAGATCTGCCCAGACACCCCGATGCTGCAAATACTTGGCACGCTGAGGAGCAAGGAGGTGCAGGACAGGAACCCATGTGCTCCAGAGCTTTGAAGCTCTCGCTTTCCGCCTGGGGAGGGTCCCTTTCACATCTTCAGGGGGGGCAAAAAAACCCAAACCAACCAACCAACCACCACCAACCCTCTGCGGACGGGACGGGCGAGGGGGGGTCCTGCTGTTCAGCACTTTCCCAGCAGAGGGGAAGGATGGGAGATGCTGAAGGGAGGGGAGGTGGGTGAGCAGCAGCCCAGGGTGGGGGGATCCAGCCCTGCCCACAAACCCCGGGCGCCCGCGAGGCCTTGCCATGAATAAATCATCGGCGTTGCAGTCGCAGGGAGCGGGGGCTGCCCGGAGATTCGGCGTTGGTGGGGCTGAACGAAGCGTGTTTTGGTCCTTTCTTGTTGTGTGTCGTTCCTACCTCCCCCCACCCACGCACCCACCCACC